GGTGAAACCCCATCTTTATTTTTTTAAAAAAAGAAAAAAATTAAAAAAAAAACAACAACATAATAAGTAGATGAGTGATAACTGAAGTTATCACTACAGACAACATTAATTAGGTAAGCAAATGTAAACTGAGGAAAAGCGAATCCCAAGGAGCATCAGGAGGTGGCTGGCAGGAAAGGAATTGGAGAAGGAAGCAGAAAGGAGATCCAGAAAGGTGAGGGCAGAACCAGAGGGAGGGATGTGAGAAAGCCAGGCTGGGAGAAAGGCACAAGAAGGAGGGAGAGGTCAGGGGTCCCAAACTCCTGAGAGGTCAAATAAGACAGGGTCTGAAAAATAGCTACAGAATTTTATTTTCCAACGACAAAACTTGAAGTGTGTTTTCTCAGTCAGCATTCAGAATCACTGCGGAGAGTGGAATGGGCTGGGCACGGTGGGCACATCCCTGTAATCTTAGCACTTTGGGAGACTAGGGCAGAAGGATTACTTGAGGCCGGGAGTACAGGACCAACCTGGCCAACATAGCAAGACCCCCATCTCTACTTAGAAAAAGAGAGAGAGACTCTGACTAGGTGCAGTGGCTCACGCCTGTAATCCCAGCACTTTGGGAGGCCGAGGCAGGTGGATCATGAGGTCAAGAGATCAAGACCATCCTGGCCAACATGGTAAAACCCTGTCTGTATTAAAAATATAAAACTTAGCTGGGCGTGGTGGTGCACGCCTATAGTCCCAGCTACTCGGGAGGCTGAGGCAGGAGAATCGCTTGAACCCAGAAATTGGAGGTTGTTTTGAACCAAGATTGCACTGCACTCAGCCTGGGCAACTGAGCGAGTAGCTTTGGCTTCCATCAGATTGAGTTTTGCGAGTAATCTGGAAAAGCTCTTAAATCAGTAAATGCTGGAGAACTTTTTGATGGGGAGGAATCATTGGCTAGTGGCAAGAACCCTGGGGCTGTTGGTTCCCATGGGGTGGCACATAAAGCTCCAGTCACCATTCATTGAGTCCTTCCCTGCCATGTTATGACTTCTTGTCTTCACAATTATCTTTTGCATTAAGAACTATTGCTATCCTCATTTCACAAATGAGTAAACTAAAGTTCAGAAAGGTTAAATGACTTCCCAAAGGTCACACATCTAGGAACTACCTCAGCTGGAATTCAAACCAGATCTGTCTGAATTCACACACCATGTTCACAGCCACCATCCTATGCCAAGACACATCACTGAACATTTCTGGAGGTCAGTTTCACTGTCACCAAATGGGGACAAATAAGCCCAGTGCATCCCTACCAGATTACTGTGAGATGAAGACAGTGACAACATTGAAAACCAAAGACTGTGTGCAAAGGGGAGGTACTATTATTTATTTTATTTTTTTATGAGACTGAATCTCACTCTTTCGCCAGGCTGGAGTGCACTGGTGTGATCTTGGCTCACTGCAACCTCCACCTCCCAGGTGCAAGCAATTCTCCTGCCTCAGCCTCTTGAGTAGCTGGGACTACAGGCACATACTACCACGCCCAGCTAATTTTTGTATTTTTAGTAGAGACGGGTTTCACCATGTTGACCAAGATGGTCTCGATCTCTTTGCCTCATGATCTGCCCCCCTCAGCCTCCCAAAGTACTGGAATTACAGGTGTAAGCCACCACGCCCATCCGGGGAGGTACTGTTATTAATCAGAGAAGCACTGTTTTGCTGGGTACAGTTTAAAGTGTCTGCATAAGACCCTTCATTCGCTGAATAGTTCATGAGTAATGGAAAGAACGCACTACTGCATTTATTCTGTGCTCAGGCCTCCTGAATACATCCTCCCTTTGGCAGGTACACCTTGACTCTCCCTGGAGACAGCCCCTGTGCTCGAGTTGGCCACAGCTGTTCGTATTTACCCCCAGTTGGTAATGCCAAGAGAGGGAAGGTCTTCATTGTTGGAGGAGCAAATCCAAACAGGAGCTTCTCAGATGTGCACACCATGGATCTTGGTAAGACCAGCAGCTGCGGAGCACATGTCCTGTGGCCAGAGAGCAGGGCCGTGTGCTGCCAGCCATGAGCAAAACATTCCTAAGAATACCAGCAGGGTTTTCCTATAAGAAAAAAACGGCCGGGCGTGGTGGCTCATGCCTGTAATCCCTGCACTTTGGGAGGCTGAGGCAGGTGGATCACCTGAGATCAAGAGTTTGAGACTAGGCTGGACAACATGGTGAAAACCCATGTCTACTAAAAATGCAAAAAAGAGCCAGGTGTGGTGGTTAGCACCTGTAATTCCAGCTACTGGGGAGGCTGAGGCAGGAGAATTGCTTGAACCCAGGAGGCGGAGGATGCAGTGAGCCAAGATTGTGCCATTGCACTCTAGCCTGGGCAACAAGAGCAAAACTCAGTCTCATGTTTCTCAGCAGTCCTCTGGCACACATTCATCTGACCAATACCTTTAGGGGGAAAGAACCCTTATGGAGCCCTTGTTGTCCAGCCATTTATTCATCAAATATTTCTGTAGGATACATCAATGACTACCACCACTCATTCTATATACATATCCCGTAAATCACCAAGCGCTAGATATCTCTTATCTTTATCCATGTCTGTCTATTTCCACTACTGCTACTGTAGTCCAAGCCACTGTTTTCTCTCAACTAGACTTACAATAGCCTCCTCATCGGTCTCCCTGCTTCCAAGTTTACCTACTTACACAGTGCATTTCTTCTTTTTTTGTTTCTGAGACAGAGTCTCGCTCTGTCACCCAGGCTGGAGTGCAGTGGCATGATCTTGGCTCACTGCGACCTCTGCTTCCCAGTTCAAGTGATTCTCCTGCCTCAGTCTCCCAAGTAGCCAGGACTACAGGCGCGTGCCACCACGCCTTGCAAATTTTTTTTGTATTTTTGGTAGAGACAGGGTTTCACCATATTGGCCAGGCTGGTCTTGAACTTCTGACCTCATGATCTGCCCAGCTTGGCCTCCCTAAGTGCTGGGATTACAGGCATGAGCCACTGCGCCCAGCCTATACTGTGCATTTTCTGTGCCTAGCCAGAGAGTATTATCTAAAATACAAATCTGCCCATGTCACTCACTACTTCAGGCCTTTCTTAACTTCATTTTTTTTTTTTTGAGAGAAAGTCTCACTCTGTCACCCACGCTGGAATACAGTGGTGCAATCTCAGTTCACCACAACCTCTGCCTCCCAGGTTCAAGCGATTCTCCTGCCTCAGTCTCCCACGTAGCTGGGACTACACGCGTGCGCCACCATGCCCGGCTAATTTTTGTATTTTTAGTAGAG